GATCTCACTCATGGTCTCTCTGTGAGCTGCAAATGTTCTTCTGAAAGCTGTTTCCGTCCCCTTCCACGAAGCCAGCAACCCCCCCCCCCCCCCCCCCCCCCCCCCCCCCCGCAGCAGACGAAGGCGCATGCGTGTTCCGGAACAACCAAGCCGTGTGCAGTCAGTTTGATTTGCTTTTGGGTCAAATTCCGATGTGAATTCTCTAAATGGCATGTATGCGGAAAACCGTTTAATATTTATCAATTTTGACAGAGAATGCACTGTTGACGAGAGAGATTAATATGGGATATCATGTCCTCAACACTGCAACTCAAGGCTGGGGGCGGTGGCTCACACCTGTCATCCTAGCACTCTGGGAGGCCAAGGGGGGTAGATTGCTCAAAGTCAGGAGTTCAAAACCAGCCTGAGGAAGAGCGAGACCCCATCTCTACTATAAATAGAAAGAAATTTATTGGCCAACTCATATATATATATTTAGAGAGAGAGAGAGAGAGAGAGAGAGAGAAAATGAGGCGGGCATGGTGGCGCATGCCTGTAGTCCCAGCTACCCGGGAGTCTGGGGCAGGAGGATCGCTTGTGCCCAGGAGTTTGAGGTTGCTGTGAGCTAGGCTGATGCCACGGCACTCTCGAGCCTGGGCAACAAAGCGAGACTGTTTCTCAAAAAAAACACAAAAAACAAAAAACAAAACACTGCAACTCAAGTAGTCATCTGGTTATGAAACAAAAATCACGAAAGTGAAACTCACAGCGCAGCTGCCCGGACATGCCTTATCATGGCAAGGACACGGTGAGTCACAGGCATCGCAAATGCAGGAATCAGGTCATGGTCACCTGATGCAATTATGAGCTATAACGCTGTGGGGTGATCAGGGACGGCGAGCCAATTGTCATTTGCATCAGGATCGTAAAAACTCATCTTAAGCTTTCTGGACGGATAAATCGCTTGTTCTTCCTACTCACAGAGGTATTTGCTCATGTCATTTAAAAAACAATGGTGACCTAGCACCTCTTATGCTATCCCGGATAGAGATTGAGCCCATCCTTCGAAGTGAGGTAGCACGAGGACGGAAAAACGTGCACCACACGTACTCGCCATCAAACTGGTACTAAGTGATCAACACTGAGGTGCTCACAAGGTGGTGATACTCACTGGGTGCCAGTCAGGTGGGGTGTGGGGGGTAGGGCGGGAGTGAGGGGTAAACCCACCCCCCCAATGGGGCCGGGGTGCACTGTATGGGGGAGGGGCACGCTTGTGGCCCTGGCTTGAGAGAGGCAAATGCATTTCATGTAACCAAAGTGTTTGTACCCCTGTAATATCCTGAATTAAAAAAAAAAAAGAATAATTTTTAAATAAACTTTAGCTTCTGCCTTCTTGGGGACGAGAAGCCTATGTGAGAGCCCCAGAGCTGGACGCTCGAGCATTTGAAGGTCACTCCGCAGGCCCCGCTGCAAGAAGCCTGTGTGCTGGCCCTCACCCGCACATAGGCGGGAGAAGGTGGCAGAGGAGGTACCTTACCTGTCCCAGGAGCCTGGCTAGCAGGTCGGGAGGAATCCCTCACCCACCTCGCAGGAGAGACCGTCAGGAAAGATATGGTGAGAATCCTGAACACCATGCGTGCTTCCCTAAGGAAATTCTTGAAATCACTTAATGAAAGAGAAGAGTTAACAGCAGATCAACCCACTCCCACAGATTCTAGAATCTGCATCGAACATCTGGGATCTGGAATTGGTTATCGGGCTTTCAGAAATCACTAGATATACAAGAAATCAAGTCAGCGCACAAAATGCCCCAGCAGATCCGTAAACCGATTACGAATAAAAAGTCCCCGGTAGGGGGAGGGGGCGTGGGGAGAGTCCAGACCTTTTGGAATGGCAACTGACCCAGAGGCTCTACTCTATTCGGAGGGAGGAAGTGTCCCATTGGATCCTGATGTGTCACAGGGCTGCATGTGTTTCGTATCCAAAAATAGGAGATTTTAAAAAGAAATGAATTCTAAAAAGACGAACACATCTGTAAGCAGGATAGTGAGTACGCTATCAGATGGCAGCGGTGGTGGCCTTGTGGGCCACAGAGCACCTGGATGGGTCAGAACATGCACCAGTGCTGCCGAGAGACCCTGCACTGAGGTGGCAAAGCCCTGAGCGTCCCACATGGCAGCTGTAGCCACAAGCAGCTGGTGGGCACCAAAGTCTGGTGGTCATGGTCGAGGAGCTGAATTTTAAATTGTATTTAATTTTAATGTTTTAAACTTAAACAGCCACAGGGAGCTAGTGGCTACTATATTGGACACCACAGATACAGACTCATCTTACTGTTTTTTGTTTTTTTTTTAATTTTAAACACCAATGCCACAATTATTCACTTAATTGATATTAAGCCTGGGATACACCAAGTGCTCTAGAAAGCACTCGACTTCCACTATGCTGACTGCTGTCCTAGTGCAGAACTGGATATTCCGGGTAACCCGCTTCTCCACCCAGCGAGAAAACATTATTAACATGAGTGGGCCAAATATTCTTCCACTTTTTTTTCCCTATATATTTCTGCCTGTTCCAGTGGGAGTTTCTAGAACCTCAAGCTACTGAAAGACAAATACTTGGTCTTGCCGTGGGTCAAATTTACAAAGGTTGGCAGGAAATAGAAAAATGTTTGCAGAGAAGTCTTGACTCATATTTGATGAGAAATTTGGAGTGACCCAAATAATGTGCATATAGTCGGTAAAAAAATCTCAGCAATTTATAAATGTGAGCATTAGAAAATGCAGTGGGTGTTATACTTCAGGTACTTCCTTACTTGTAACTAGTCATTTTTATGCTTTTTGTTCATATAGTGCAATTTATTTTCTTTCTTTCTCTCTCTCTCTCTCTCCTCTTTCCTTCCTTCCTTCCCTGCCCCACCCCCTCCATCCTGTGTGCAGGTGTGCTGAGCGAGTGTTAACCTGCTTTCTCATTCGTCTCTTACTGGGCTATGTCTTGGGGCATCAAAATCATGCCTGTGGTCATTGTTCAAAAACTGTGGATGCACTAGAAAATGTATTTTTGTTTTCAGGAAATAACTTCTGAAAAATAACTTCCAGAGGAATGGTTTCAGGTTTCTGCACTTCAGCCCATTTTATGTCCCTGCTGACAAGAGGAGGGCAAACACCTTATGCGGAAACAGGAACAGCAGCCTGCAGTGCAGACGCGGGAGGGATTTCCCCTTCGCTTCCCCGGCCGCACGGACTACCCCTGGCTCAGCACATGGGATTAGAAGCGACTTGGCAAAGTGCAGTTTTCAGCCTGGATGTGGCACTCGGAAGTCAGGCCTGGCTCCTTCCTCTCTGTCTGCGGGGGCCCTGGGAGCCACGTTGAGGCATCACTGGGTAGTTGAAATGTGGTCCTAGGCCAGGTCATGTCAGATGGAGCCTCGAGAAGGGGACCCCTCCTCGAGACACCAGCTCGCCCTCCTCCCCTGTCGCTTGGCAGCCAGAGCTGGACATGATGATGTGTGTGAATAGCAGACATCAGATATCTGACCATGAAACAGGTGATAAGGAAACCACCTGGGGAACGGAGAGGCCAGGTTGAGGACCAAAAGGGGCCCTAGTGAGGAAGTGTGTGTGTGTGTGTGTGTGTGTGTGTGTGTAAAACTAGAGAGTTCCAATGAAACGAAGACAAATGTGGTAGTTGAGCTTCTGAGACATATATTGGTACAATTCACAGTAAGTGAAGTTAGGAGAGGCTTCCTGGAGGTGCGGGCATCAGTCAGTGATGCTTTGAAGAAAAGTCGTTGAACGTCCATAGGCCTTTATGGCTGCTATGATCTGAAAGTCTCATCTCCCCCAGAATTCGTATGTTGACATCGAGTCTCCGGCGTAAGACTAGTAGGAGGTGGAGCCTTTGGGAGCTAATTGAGCCCTAGAGTCAAGTCCCTGTGAATGGGTAAGTGCCTTTCTAACAGAGGCCCCAGAGAGAAGTCCTTTGCACCTGCCACCAGGTGAGGACGCAGAGAGATGGCTCCATCTACGAAGCAGACACAGATCTGCTGCTGCCTTGATCTTGGGCATCCAGCCCCCCAAACTGGGAAAAATAAATGTCTGTAGTGTACATGTCATCCAATCTAGGGATTTAATTACAGCAGCCTGAATGGACTAAGACAATGGTAAACAGAAGGAAAGGCTCCTCAATCTACAGTTTTGTCACTTTTTAGAGGCGAATAGTGACAAGGAATGACAGTTTGGATGAATCTCAGTTCACAGTCTCGGGACACAGTGGTGAGAGCACTGCACTTGGAGTTGAAGGACACAGGTTCCACCGGTGTATAGTCATGGACGTGGAGCCACACAAGCCTCTGCTTGCCTCAGCCTCCTGTTGGTCACCCAAGGACAAGGAGCCCAGAGTCCCACACCGTTTGACTCTGGGGCAAGTTCATGTGCAGACAAGTTTTCTTTAGAGAGTTGTAAATAATTTTGAGTTTATGGTTAAGCACTGAAAAATCTCAATTTGGGCTTTTCTTGAAAAAGTGGAATTATCTAGACACTGAACCTACCTTCTAGGGCCGCCAAACTTAGGCTGAGCACCGATGTTCTTTGGGAAGGGACGGCTTCTGCAGGAGCCACAAGTGGAGCCCTGCCCCAATGTCACGTGCAAAAGGTACAACTGAATCCATGAAGCCATGCTCATTTTGTTAGTACAAAGTTATTTTTCTAACTGTATGTCTATGCAATCTGCTAAAGTGAAACATAGATTAAGAGGGACGTTTGATTCTTCTTGTGCTCACTTATATCGTCAGGCCAGCTGCTGAAGGCAGTTGAGATTTTGGTAAGTCTAAGAGTGTCTAAGGGAAAAGTTGAATTGATTGCAATGCTCCCAGAGTGCTCCTCTGCCCGCTCTGGGCCTCAGCCTCTGGGCTCATTTTGCTCACGCGTCTTCTTGTTGTTCTCAGGCCCACAGAGGCTGTTCCACCTTCGGGGCATTCTGCTTAGTCAGCACGGATGATCCCGCCCAGTGGGAAGAGCGACCCTCCTCCACTCGGTGGTTGACACATCGCTTGCCTACTTGAACTTGACTTTGTTATCCGTACCCTCCCCGTTTGCAGAATGAACTTGGGGTGGCTTTGTTCCCTCTTCGCTCTTGGAAAATATTATTTTTCAGAGCTTTCACACTCAATGGCATTCTCGGCAAATGACCTAGGATGGTTTGTATGATTGTTTTATGTTCGCTTTTTAAAACTCTAGAATATCAGTCTTGTTCAGCAGCCTTGAAAATCACAGCCCCTTGAGTAGTACTTATTTATGAGGTCGGAGGGAATAAAACTCTGACTTTGGGGCAATTCGATGGAGTAGAAGCCAAAGTGCACTAGACGACTGTGGGATTCTGCACATCAGGGCCTGGAACTTGACGGCTTCTCCACGGCCTGAACAGATGGAAGGAGGCCAGGGTTATTTTGTGAGATTATTTGACTGGATGATCCCAGCCGCATGGGGAGGGTCTGCCATGGCAGTGACAGAGCCTCAGGGGACGCTGAGGACTAGGCAGGCGTCCGCAGAGCCCAGAGAGGACAGTGTGTGTCGGCCTGGGGTGGTCTCAGCCCTGCCTGGGCCCATCAGACAGCACCCCCCCAGCTCTGCGCACCCCCCTCCTTCTGCTAACCTCACTTCTCGGAAGTCACAAGAGCTTTGTGATAATATTTTAAAACTTAGTCACAAGTCTCTTGATTTAAGGCATGTTTTCTATTATAATCTCGAGACACGAGTGAAGTGGTACACACTGAGAGATAGAGTCACAAGACAGTCATATTTACTTGGTTAGCATCCAAAAATAAAAACTGGAAGGAAATAAGATAAAACGTAGAACAATGTTCCCTTTTAGTATTTGGGACTATTCATGTCATTGAAGCGTGGATCAAACAGTGACTTCGGAATTGGGAGGATCTGGTCACAATGCCAGGCGGTTGGACATTCTGGCAACCGGGGCGTGATGTGGCCTGTGAGAAACGAGGCGACCAAAATAATCTTTAAATCTGCTGTGTCTTTGTCATTCCCCAATAGCTGACTCAGTGATAGACACCCAGTGAATTTTCACTCATGTTTAGGACAAAGGGCACTTTTACGTTTCATGTGCATTTCCTGAAAAGGAAGTGTTTCTATATCTGTAGTTCTTAATCAACGAGAGGAGGCTTTGCTCCCCAGGAGGTATTTGGCAATATTTGGAGAGACTTCCGGTCGTCAGAACAGGGAAGGCGAGTGCTCCTGGCACACGGAGGGTGGAGGCCAGGGATGCTGGAGAACAGCTTCCGGCATCTTACGGCGTTTTACGGCGCCGCACATCATCTAACGGCATCATACGTCATCTCGCAGCGACGCACACCATCTTACGGCATCATACGTCATCCTACGGCGTCGCACACCATCATCATACGGCATCATACGTCATCTTACAGCGTCGCAAATCATATCACATCATCTTACAGCATATACGTCATCTTACCGCGTCTCACATCATCAGACGGCATCTTACTTCATTTCATCTTACGGCATCGTATGGCGTCTTGCAGTGTACAGATGAACCCACAGTGAGAAGTCCCGCCCCAAATGATATCAGTAGCACTGGGGTTGGAAACCCCAGTATGTGTGTATGTGCACGTGCATACTACATGTATGTTTATATATGTCTGTTTACCTAGATATATATGTAAAATATGCATATATATTTAATATCTAATGCAAGGTATATCTCACAGAGATATATGCAATCTCTAATGTACATGCACACATTCACGTGGATATATATAATCACAAATGTACATCTGGGGGAGAGATCAGAAGCTCCATTCAGTTGTGTAGGGGTCCAGGAGCAAGTGGTAAATTTTACTTCCTGCCTAACCCAAACATCCTGATATCCCAAAGTAGCGGGGATTAAGAAGAGGAGAAATAGAATGGTTTGTTTTGGTTTTTGTTTTTTAGTTCAGTAAAGGCCCAGAAAAGAGTGGGCTACAAAGCACTAGAAATAGGGCATGAGCCCAGAACCTCGGAATCCTCGGCCGAGGCCTCCCCTCCCGCCGCCGTCTGGAGGACTCTCACCCCGAGCCCCGGATGCTCCACTTTTAAATGAGGGAATAATGAACATCGGATTGGGAAAAAAACAACGTGGGAAGTCGCTTTCTAAACACGACTGTGCTTTAGAAGCAAAATATGTGGATAACCGGGGGTGGCGGACGCTCCAGGAAAGGCCAGGCAGGGAATTGGAAGACCTGCAATTTTACCAAAGAGGGAAACAATCTCCAATAATTTTTTTTTCTTATAGAATTATTTCTAAATGAACTAAAGTTCTAAAATGAACTTTGCTGGAAGACTTCTGGATTTCTTTTGAATTTCTCAGCAAGCTGAAATCTCAGCCAATGATTACATAGAAGCTCCTTCTCATATGGATGGTCTTTGCTTGACAAGATAAAGCATCAGTAGTTTTTTTTTTTTTTTTTTTTAGTGAAATTGTTTTTCTCCCTCTCTTGGGATCCTTTTCACAGATCTGTGTCAGACTTTCCATAAAGTTTGGAATGTCAGTTACTTTACAGGATATCGTAGGAGAACAATCCGCCCTTTGGGGCATCCTCTGTGTGTAGAGAAGACTTTGGTTGGACAGCTTTGTCGGAGAGATCCAGGAGAGGTTTTGCTCTGACAGTGGAGTCCCATCTCCGATGCCTCAAAATCCGTAGCTGGAAATATTCCATGTGCTGCACACAGGGACCAAGACCCACTTCTCTCTCCGTAGCAACCGCCAAGAGGAGAAAGGACTCTCTCACTGAGAGCCCACAGGAGAGCACTGGGCTCTCAGGCTACAAAGCTTTTGTCAGGATGACACACAAAGCTGCTTTTCTAATGAGCAAATCCGTGGTTTTCCTGACGAAATTGAGCAGAAGTCCCACAGCGGATCGGGAAGGAGATGGCTATGGTCTGCCACAGAAGATTATTTCTGGAGCCTTCTGTTTTATCCTAATATTTCTGGGAAACATGCATCCTAATCTCTAATATACCTTTTTAATTATTCAACGTTACGTCTTCCCCAAAGGCTCAAGTAAATTTGATTCTTAGAGGAGAAAACCATCTCTTTTTCCCCCTAGAGTTACAGTTAGTCAGATAGAATCCTGTTGCCCCTTGATTTTCCATAATTATTATGATTTGATCGAAGTCCATACGTACACAGATGCTAAGTGAACATGCATATATTATCTTCAGCAAACAAAATAAAAGCCCTGAAGGGTTATAGCACGCAAAAAGAGCTCCTAATTACCTATGTGTTCCATCGTAAAAGGAAAGCCCCAGAACGCTCATTTTATTTAAGAATTTTGGTCCATCTTGCTTGCATGGACATTTCTCTCCTGAATGAAGCCATTGGCAAGGGATGTGTCAGCATGTCACATGATTAATTGAATGCCACTTAGCGGACAGTGGGATGCATAACAGCAATGTCTTGCAAATCACAGAGCTCATCCAAACTCAAAATCTGTTTCGGAGAGGAGAGCAAGTGCGGCAGGCGCAAGGCTCGGCAGGTAGGAAGCCCTCCGCTGGCCATCATCACTCTCACATTATCTGCTTCCTAATTACACCATAATTAGATCGGGGATAATTACTTTGATTTCTATTATTATTGCCGAGAATACCTTAGACTCTTAGAATCATAATGTTATAAGGGAATTTAAAGCTCATCAATTTTAACATCTTCATTCAGAGGAGGTAAGAGAGGCCAGAGAATTTAAGTGACCTGTCCAAGTTAAGATCACACAGATACTTATTAATACTATTTAAATTAATTATCTCATTAAATAATTGATATACTTAATCAGGAACCAATATTTTGACTGTAGAAGGTCCACCTGTGCCTACATATTGGCTGGTAGAGAGAGAACGTGCCAGGGATTTTTCTGTTTCTCCAGCATGTTCTTTTCATGCCCTGCCTGGTTCCTCAAATTGTCCTTTGTGTGCCAATTTCTGTTTTACTCCTGACCTGCCACCATTGCCCTGCAGGCTCAGTGAAGGGCAGCACCTCTGTTGCAGGTTTTATTCCTGTAGCCCCTGCACAGTGCCCTAACCCTCATGGGAACTCAAGAAATATCCGTCTGATAAACATCGAACCCTGTTGGCAACACCAGGCCCAGACAAAAACAGGACGCAGCAGTGTGTCAAGGAACCATGTTTTCTCTCCTTCTTTCTACTTAATAAAAAAAGGTTCCCGCAGTTGTGGAAGCAGGATCAGCTTCCACCTCGGGGAAGAGAACAGGAGTGACAGGAATTCTAGAGACGCTAAGAGTAGCAGTGCAAACCTCATGAAGAAAACACAGGACAGAATTTGGGACTCAGAAGGAAACGACTCAGCTTTGGGGATACTAACGTAATACTGAGGTCCTGGGGTAGGAGGCTTCCCCGGGGGCTGTCCTGGGTCCTCCAGGTGGGCGAGGAGGGTGCAGACAGGAAATTGCACTCCCTAGCGGGGTCATGTGTGCTCCTGGGGGGGTATGACATTTTCCCCGCATTGGGTCTCAGGCTTTATTTAAGGCTTCATTTCAAAGGCGGCCACATATCGTTTTCTCGGTTGGGGCCTCCCACCCACGAGGCTGAGAAATGTAATAATTTCTGCAAATGTGTCAGTCACTTGGAGGGAATGTGAGCAGGCTGTTAGCAGAGGGTGGGTTCAGGGATGTCTAAACGAAAAGGGAAACTCTCATTGTGATTTGTAAAGAGACGCCTTCCCGAGCAGATCCTGCTCGGCTGGCCGCACAGCAGAGTGGGCCTGAACCCAGCACCCTCGAGGCCTCCTTGCTCAATAAAAATGCTGAAGGAAGCATTTTTCATGATCGGCCACATGGCCCCAGTAAGTTCAGCATCAAGGATACATTTTACTTTTTTTTTTTTTCTTGATTCATCTACAAGAATGAGACATCTAAATTATAAGCTTAGCTACATTAGGTAAGATTCTCCATGCTTTTTGCATAGGAAACGTTCACTTGAATATTTATTGTAGGAAAAAATAAAATTATTATTTAGGTGGGGGAGGGTCAATGTTATCATGGATTTTGTCACCTAAAAGGGAATAGCTTTGCAGTTGCTGCCATGATACCTCACTCAAAGCCGGATGGTAAGAAATGGCCAACACAGAAATATGTGCTCAGCGGGTGCCTGGCTTGAGGTCTTTCCTGTGAGTCAGTTTTCACGCTGATCATTTCATCTTTTTCTTTCAAGAGTCTCACTCAAACCCGAGCACCGGTCCTAGCCAAGGGGTTAGGAACCATCTGGTACAGTTCAGACCTTGGTTATTGAAAATACACGAATTTGTAAAACGTTGAGCTTTTCCCAGCTTTTAGGTTTCAATGCATTGAGCTGGCAGCCAACCTGACAGCGTTTCTAGAGCCATCGGCCGAAAGGTGCACGTTAAGTACTGAGGTAGGAAAAGTGGGGGTGCTTCGACAGTTACGGAAGAGAGCTCGGGTAATAACATCAAAGCCTTTAGCAAATCCATCCAGGTTTTTAACACCAAGTTAACTTGCTCTGGGACGTGCTTGCTTACTTATAGCTGTGGGCTGTGGATATGAACTGCAGGAAGAGCAGGCAGCGCCCCTCACTAGAAAGGGGGTCACTCGCTCAGCGGGAGGGGTGGAGGCCGACAGAGAGCTTCACGGGAGATAGACTCCTGGGAAGTATTTGAGATACACGTGTCTTAACGATGCCCCAAGAGGAAGTGAATTTAAGATAAATAATGAGGCTGGGCGCGGTGGCTCACGCCTGTAATCCTAGCTCTCTGGGAGGCCAAGGCGGGCGGATTGCTCAAGGTCAGGAGTTCAAAACCAGCCTGAGCAAGAGCGAGACCCCGTCTCTACTATAAATAGAAACTAATTGGCCAACTGATATATATATATATATATAAAAATTAGCCGGGCATGGTGGCGCATGCCTGTAGTCCCAGCTACTCGGGAGGCTGAGACAGAAGGATCGCTCGAGCCCAGAAGTTTGAGGTTGCTGTGAGCTAGGCTGACGCCACGGCACTCACTCTAGCCTGGGCAACAAAGCAAGACTCTGTCTCAAAAAAAAAAAAAAAGATAAATAATGAGATATTTTTGAGGGGAAGCAAAGCGAATACATATTTCACATTTGTGCATGCCATTCCTTATTAGTTACTCAGCACCATTAGTAATTTTAAGACATCTGGTCGCAGAAGGACAACCACGTGGGTATTGGCTGCCGCTGCCGCCCTGGGGCGCCTGGGTGCTCCGTGAGTCCCGTCAGGTGAAACGTCACACCTGTGCATCGAGAGTCCCCATCCCAGTCATCTCTGTTCCGTGCGGCCTGTGGTTCTAGGTGTTGTCACTGTTCATTTCTTTAAGAAATGGATGACGACTGGCTCTCCCCTCCACTCATTTCACAGGGAGGATGTCATAAGGTATTGAATCTAGGGGAATTGTACCAGTCCATTTTCACCCGGCCCGGAAGACGCTCGGTGCTGTGAGCATAGCAGTGTTTTATGCCATTCATGTAGAGTACTTGTTGCTCTCTGCAAGTCCGCGTTAAAGCAGGCAGCGGGTACTGCTGTCGAGGACCAAGTAACTCCACAAAGCAGGGACAGAGGAACGTTGAAGGAAGATGGGAAGTCACTGCTGGGTTCTAGAAGCCTCTCTGTTGGCATGGCCGTTTGTGTCTCCAAAGTTTGGGTCGTCATCTGAGGCTGATGTTTGAGCGGGCTGGTGGCAGCCTTGCGTCTCTGGCAAAGGCAGCCTAGGAACGGGTGTGGGACCCCAGGGCAGAGAGACCTGCTGGTGGCTGGGCACGGCCTCTGCCTACCTGTCGGCCCATCCAGCCCTTCTCCCTCCCAGCAAGGGAACCTCCAAGAGGAAGGTGCCCAACGTGGGGGTGGTGATGAGGCCACTGAGCATCACCCCTATTCTGGACCTAATGTCAAAACACCTGCTTTGTTGGCAGTGCACGGTTCTCCCAGGATTGGAAGGATTGGAAGAAGCAGGCAGGGAGCAGTCCCAGCCTCCTGTCCCACACCGTTTCCGCCCCAAGTGAGAGCCGGACGCTGCAAAGGGACTGAGCAGGTGGTGCATACATAGGGGCCCCTTTGTGGAACGTGTCTGGCACCACGTTTTGTGGTGCGAGCAGCTCAGATTCCTAGCAGCGGCTCCGTTCAGCCTCTCCATCCATGGGGCCCCCCTGCCGGCGGCACGCCGGTGCTCACCACGGGAAGGAATTACAAGGATTGTGCAAACAATTACAAGCATCGTGCAAACAATGAGCATGCCGGTTTGGCCCATCTATTGGTAAGAAAAACATGTGGGGTTTCATGGAAATGAGTTCCAGCTCTGGGCCCCCTGGCACCACTGCAAACCCCTTCAGTGCAGAACACCCAGCGTGTGTCTCCCGTCTGTCCTGAAAGCTGCTCTCGGGTGGGACTCCCATCCGGCTTTCTAAAGATCTGCGCTCCAACAGTGTCGGTGGAATTGTTTTCACCAAGGGGCACTGTAGACAGAGGAGCGGTTATTTCCGAAGGATCTCAGAGTTAGTCCCTGATCATTCAAATGACAGAAAGTTGACCACTTTACCTAGTCATCACCGCACAGGAAAATCTCCCAAGCTATTGCCAGTGTCATCCTTGACTCCTAATGTAATAAAACGCCCATCTCTTTGATCAGCTTATCACATTAGGCAGGTGCGATGGTGATTGTTTCAGGGCAAATAATTTAATCCAAAGTACTTTGCAGCTTGCTTGCCTGGTGACCCGGGTGCAGACCACTCTCTGAGGCTCACAAGAGCGGGAGGTGATGGGGAGATACATCGTATTTAATGGTGCTTTCCAAACAGAAAGTGCTGCGAAGATTGCCATTCAGGGGGCTGAAGGGCTGTTGAGCTCGATACTCGAGCGTCGGCCACATCGAGTGATACGGATTTCTCAGTGTCTCTATCCCTCACAACGGAAAACCACAATGGAAAACTTTAATTATGTTGATATTGGGACTAGAAAACACATACGCTTCCTTATAAACCCAGGGGCAGTTGCTGAATAGAATTGTTTCATTTTTTTTTTAGAGAAGTACAGTTTTGTTTTTGTCCTTTTTTAGTCTTTCTTCTTTTTTTATATTGTACTTTAAAAAAAATCCAAGTAAGAGTATTCTACTGTATTGCTTTAAAGAAGCAAATTCTGAAAGGTCAGAACATTAATTTATTTCCATTTCTAAGTGAACAATGTAGTCAGCACCCAGTGTCAGAAAAGCACATTAAAAAAATGTCCATCGGGCTCTACACATTCTCACTTTTGCTGATTTTTCTACATGGAAGACTAGTTAATCGATTAATCGTACGTTAGTCAGCAAATATTTATTGAGGTTCTACTATGAGCTTGACTGAATTGCCGGGGTCCAGCCCCAAACTCTGGTCCTCAGAGGCTTACTCGTGCTGTAATTTGGATATGGAAAGAGACATCCCTCCTGGAAAGGGCCCCAGGTCCACCTGAGAGCCTTGAAGTCAGCTGCCAGCCAGAAATAGCCGCGTTGAGAATGTACAAGGGGAGAAATAATCCTCTGAAGGAGCGTGACTCCGTGCCATGTATTTTAAAGATGAGCTTTAGAAACATGCACGTCAGTAACAGCCGTAAAAGGAGCCGCAAGAACTGAGAGCGTCTCACAGAACTCACCAAGACGGACAAGCACCAGTGAGAGACTCTGTCCTGCACGATAAACCTAATTTGCTCATTTCTGATGGCCCCAAACAGAGTGCAGTTGCTTGGTGGTGTCTGGTGTTACTGGCAAGGGAAGAATAGCACCGGTGACATCTTCATCTAGCGGACCAGGCTCAGGGGATTTATGGCCCCAAGAACAGATCTGAGTCCAGACTCTTGCAGGAAGGCTTGCTGTCCATTTCTGGGAAATTCCAAACTCAATTTTGCAGGCCACAGAGATTTAGATAACCGGTTGTTTATTTAAAGTAGTATCTCCACGTCTGTGTCCTGATGGGCAATACAAATATTTGGCCGGGCAATGAAATACTGTGCTTGAGTTCTGTCTAAATACTGTGGGGTCTGTTTTTATTTTAGTTTATTCCTTCAATGTGTAAATAGAATGATGCAGTAGAAAGATTCCTTCTTAAAAGGAAAAAGGAAACTTTGAATTAATCTTTCCATAACTTTAAAAAGTCTGCTTTACTCCAGTTAATAGTGATGTGTTATTTAATACCATAAAGATGAAGTTATTCTTTGTAAAAATATTTCTTTCTTTATTTCCAAGCAATTGGTATTAGGTACAAAGAGATCCCGTGTTGAAGTTTAATTCCAAGAAATGAGCTGTATGGTTACTTAATTTATTTCAGTTATTTACATTTTTACTATGTGCCTGTTTGCCTAAATCATAATTTCTGCCTACAGATAGGGGATTTAACATAAAATAAGCAATGAGTGTGCCATTTGGCTAGTTTTGATTTTATGTATCTGTTGGAGAGGAACAGGATGTACTCCCTAATTTGGGGGAAGGCTCTCTGACTCAATCCTGGCCAGCAACAGCATTCTGTGACAAATACAGACCAAATAAGAATGCTACAATCAGTGAAAGTAAATTATTTTTAGCTGTTTTAAAAAGCATACCACTTATGTCAATTTCTGTGATACTATAAAGGTAGAATTTCCTACATGATTGTTCTTCTCTTTAGGAAAATTTAGAAAAGATTTCAGCGTATATTTCCAACTGTGAATTCTTTCCTTCATAGTTTGTCTTTTATTTTTTCACGTCCCTTTAATTAAAGCATCCACATTTCAATACATCAGATGAAAAATAGGACTTTTAACTTCTTTAGCTTCTTCTAACTCCTGCATAAAAAGAAAAATCTATTCTTTGTCATTTCTTTATGCATTCAGGTAAAATCATTACTTAGTTCCAATCATCTCTGTAAAAGAAGATTTATACGTTGTCAAGTTGAATTCCTCCTTCATCCAGGCAGGATTTTCAGGAGACCAGAGAACCAAGTGGGGAGATTATTAGCGTGTCAGGAGATGACTGCCTGCTTCAAGTCAAAACATCGCCACTTTTTTTTTTTTTTCTCCCTTGGAGACTTCAGGTAAATTGCTAAATTCAAGGTAAATTGCTAAAATTGGTCTGCACGTGACTTTTCCTCCCAGGAAACTGGTGAATTTAATTAAACTAGGATCCACGGGGAGGTTCTCTGCTCACCGGTCCATGTTTTGAATCTGATGCCCAGTATTAGAGCATCCGATTTCTAAACTTTTAGGAGGCCGAGCTAACCACGTGTGGGGAGGGCAATGTCATGGGCTCTGCTGGGTCTCAGCAGGGACAATTCACACAAAGACCTGCTCCTGGGGAAAAGGGGCTCGTGCGAGCTCAGAGCCATCTGCCCGTCTGCAGGTGGAAATCCGGTGAGTCGGGACAGGCGCTGAGAGAGGCTGCTCTGAGGATCTGGCGTGGGAGAGTGGACACTCCCTGGACAGATGAGTGGCTTGGGGGCTTTCCCCAAATCCAAAGACCAGGTCCATCTCTGCTGTCACCGTCCAGGGATCCCGGGCATTTCTCCTCTAGAGACCTGGCCCTGGGAGGTGGAGCCGCTCTTCTCCTCTGCACGGGGCACTCGGCTCTGGCTACACACTAGGGACGTCCCCCAAACAGCAGTTTGAAGGCTGAGCGCCCCGTCATGCCCGCAGCTGTGGGTGGTGGGGAGACTTGCCGACCACACAGCCCCAGTCCCCTGTCTGGAATTTTACCAAGTGAACCTTTCCGCTGCCTGTGTCCCCTGCTTCTGGACCTCTCCTGGCCCCCTTTCCCCCGCCCCTCCCCGGGGCCTCCTCCCCCTGCCTCAAGGCTGGGGCCCATGGCTGAGCCGCTTTGCTCTCTGCAGAGCAGAACAAAACGTGATGCATTTCGGTTTTGAACCTCCGATGTTGCCAGGATTGCCTTCCACCTTTCCAGTGTGCGCCCTCGTTTTGCTCAGGGTGTTACTTCAGTAAATTGCTATTGTCTTTGGAGAAAACGGCACATTATAGACCATTTGGCCGGTATTCTTTAAAGCTTACTCTTTCCCACTGTGGAGCTTCGTCTGAACTGCCCGGTGTTAACCCGCTCCCTCCCCACCGCACCCCGGAGGGGTCCCGGACGGAAGGACGTTCAGAGGCAGCGGGTGCCCAGCAGGGAAGCCAGGGGACAGATGTCACCATGGTGGCCACACCATCTAAGCCCACCTCACCTCCAGCCTCAGTGGCTATGAAGTCGAGCGATTTAACAGGCTCTAAAATCCCTTTAGCTCAAAAACCATTGAGCCTGTATTTTCTGTTCTCTAGGTTCCTGTGCTTTTTATAAAGATGGAGATTCTAATTTTTCATCCAAGTCTCCCACATGCTGCTGCACGCCTAGCGTGGGGTCCACTCCCCAGACCCACATTCCAAGGGATTTCTGCTTCCAAGCCACATTAGCCCACGCGGCAACCTAGTCCTGCACTAAACTTCAGTTCCCCGGGGCCCGAATGCTGTCCCGCAGGGGAGGGATTGCTTGGCATTCTGGGCTTCCTTTCTGCTGCAGGGAACGCACAGCCAGCGTGGCAGAGATGGAGCAAACAGGCTCTGTTTGATGCACAACCCGCTAAGTCTTTCCTCATGACTGCTTTTCTCTGATGGTCCTTCATTTCTCCCTCTCTTACTGACTCCTTCCAATTTCCCCTTTTAAATACTTTGGAGTCATGCTTTTTTTTTTTTTTTTTTTTTGACAGAGTCTTGCTTTGTTGCCCAGGCTAGAGTGAGTGCCGTGGCGTCAGCCTAGCTCACAGCAACCTCAAAACTCCTGGGCTCAAGCGATCCTCCTGCCTCAGCCTCCCGAGTAGCTGGGACTACAGGCATGAACCACCATGCCCGGCTAATTTTTTCTAAATGTATTTTAGCTGTTCAATTAATTTCTTTCTATTTTTAGTAGAGACTAGTAGAGACAGGGTCTTGCTCTTGCTCAGGCTGGTTTCGAACTCCTGACCTTGAACGATCCTCCCGCCTGGGCCTCCCAGAGTGCTAGGATTACAAGCATGAGCCACCTCACCCGGCTAATTTTTTTTCTGTATATCTTAGTTGGCCAATTAATTTCTTTCTATTTATAGTAGAGACGGGGTCTCGGTCTTGCTCAGGCTGGTTTTGAACTCCTGACCTCGATCGATCCGCCCGCCTCGGCCTCCCAGAGTGCTAGGATGACAGGCGTGAGCCACCGCGCCCGGCCTGGAGTCATGCTTAAAGACAAGGTGACTACACGGTCATCAGTCGCACCTGCAACAAGAGCAGGTACATGGCTGGGCGCAGGTACACGGGTGGGTGCAGTATCACATGTAAACGGCAGGACCCCTGAGCTCTGCATGAGCAAGAAAGCACAGGATGTTTCTAAATAGAGGAGATGTAATTCTTAGACTTCATTTGAGAGAAGGACTGTTGAAAGGGCTTTCCGTCATGTGGAACATGCCTCTGTTTCAAAATTGCTAATGTGTACACACACGCAGGCACACACACGTGTGCACACACGTACATTCCCGTGTTTCTGCCTTGCTTCCAGAATTTGAAAGAAAGTTTTTCTTAACGTAATTGTGTGTATAATTGCTATTTACACATTTTTATTGGGTGACTACCGCATGTAAGAACATCGTGAAGAGTGTAATTATGACCTTCTCCACTTATTAAGACACTTCTGAGATCCTAGGTACATGTTCTTTAGGTTTAGGCAACAGCAATTTGTTGCTGATAATTCTAATGTTTGCTCCTGGAAATGTTGTGTTATTTTAAGAGGCTCATATCCTCCGTGTGGGTTTTGAAACATCTGTTCAGGCCAGAACATATCAGCTAAGGCTATATTTCACTCCTCACTTTGAGTCCAGATGGTACATCTATATATAATACTAGGTACCATAGTCTCCAATTATCTACTGTAATTTAATTTATTTTCTGTTATATCTCTAATGAAGCTAATTATTTAAAACAATAAGAACTAACGTATTTCTAAGGTGTTAAACGTCAAAGCTCATTAAATGTGTGTGTGTGTGTGTCTGTTAAAATACCACAAGGTTAGCATTAGAGTGTGTATAAACCACCTCATTAAAGAAAAGGTTAAACATTTCCTCTGAGTGGATTTTCTAAATCCAAAGAAAATGAATTTCATCGGAAATAGAGTTTCAGGAAAGAAAGCGGTTGAAAATTGTGATGGAATTATTATTTCATTTAACAAAATGATACACAGTCCATCATAGAAAGGCATAATAAAGGTATTTTTCTCATTGCTGACTGTTTTGAGAAAAAGTGACAAAGCTGTTTAAATGAGTAAAAAAGGATGTCAATTTTCAGATAATATTACTAGATAAAGGATGTTTCACAACGCTTTAGAACGATGATCTTCGAATGTTTGTCATTGTTCTACCCTGTTATTTTGCAAAGTTCAAACTCTCAATCATCTTTAAACTGGTATATAAAATTTTTCCTCGTAAGCTTAAGTAGTTGCAAGTGATGAAAATTTCAGCACACTGTGGACTGGTAGAAATGGAACTATGAACCTGCTCTTTTAAATGTAGACAGTGGGGTTTTAATAACAAAGTGATTCCATACTGACCATCTTCTATTAAAAGAAAATCCACAAACAAGCTTTTCAATTGTAGGAAACTGGACATTGTTCCTTTTCCTCTTGTATTCCAATTTTATTCTCCCATAGATTTTATCTTAATGTAATCTTTACTGGAAACATTTTTATTGCTTGTTTCACAAGTCCTTCTGTGAAGAGAATATATAAATTAAAGATAAAAATGTTTCAATTTTGCCCCCATGGCTCTGAATGTTACATTTTCCTATATTGAATTGTCATTATAATTAACATTTGTACAGAACTGATCACAATCACACACATATGATACAATTTTATATTCAGCAAATAAGAGCATAAATTTTAATTAGAAATTCATATCCTAAGGAGATAGATGTATTTTTTTATTAGCTTATGTATCCATAGGTAATTATTACTTAATTGACAGAATGAAGTGAGTGTATCATCATACCTATTCTTGGTCATTTTTTCTTTTTTTGATATAGGCTTTGAGAAAATTTGGAGTGCTATAGAATTTCATTAAAGTATTTAAAATGTTTTCTGAATTATAGAAAAATGTCAGTGGTCTGTTATTTTAAAATAATGTAGTCTGTCTGTTGACAAGTCACTTAGGTTCTCTTTGAGACCAGATCATCCGGAACCATGAGAAATGCAAAGAGGGTGTGTTAGCCCCTCCGCATGTCTCTCTCTCTGGTTCTTCCCCTGTTAGCTGCTGGTCTGTCTTCATGGATCCTACTTTGCCTCAGTTTCCTCTGTGACGCCATAGAGCACGCAGAGATGGCCACATCTTCCTGCACTCTGTCCCGTTTTCTCCTCCTCCTCCTCACCTCCTTCCTCTTCTTATGTTTGAGCTCCACTTGGTATTTTTCCAAAATTCTTCCACCGTTGTGACATTTGATAAAGCGTCGGTGATCTCAATCAAGCGTATGGGAGGTTAGCAAGCTCATGACGGGGAGTTAATTATACTCAAAACAAAATCTTTATGGAAAAACACACACCAGTGTTCCAACAGCGATTTTAACCATGTCTAATGTTCACTTTTAAAATCCTTTATTCTATTTATTATTTAAGGCGCAAATCCATGCGTTGGCCCGTGCACCAAAGCAGACAGTCTCGTTACACTCACAGCATGGAACCCTGTTAACTACTGTTAAAAGCCCTGCCGTGGGAATCAGCCATTTAGCTAAGCTTTATCCAGTGAGCCACGAAAAGCTTCTTTCTAGATAGGACTTCCACGTCAACCAGAGACGTCAATCTGACCTTGCAGGAAAGTCACCCGGCTGGTCTTCAGGTGCCTTCGGGACAATACCACGAGATGCCCTACGTCTGCACCCCGAGGACCTGCACGGAGACGACAACCCACCCCCTCAAGGGGAGGGTGACCTGACACATCAGCTTAGCTCTGAGGGCATCGAGCAAAGCATCTCAGATCTCCAGATTTTTTTTCTCCTGGAGTCTACCTTCCGCAGCCCCCAACCATGACCACTTGGGAAGCATTTTTCCTCTCATTTTGGCAGTTCTTTATTCTCGAGTTGCATATTAACTTTGAAATGAATATGCCTTTATTTTTATTTCTCTTTTTATTTAAGGGGATCTGTACTTTAATTTTGTCTTTATTGTTTTGTGTTTTGTTATACAAAGAGGGTTTAACGCAATATAATCTATTTGAGGGAGCCATAATTACATTTTTCAAGAGCCGTAGAACAGTAAGGTAAAAAGAGAGATTAACTCCATTTCCCCTACACTTCTTCTTCTTCTTCTTCTTTTTTTTTTACTCACTCATTCAAGACTCTTGAAAGTGTTATGTGAATAGTACCTAGTCACAAGAGTTACTCTGCACAATGGAATAATCCCATTTTGTAGGGCACGAAACGTACAATTTTGAGGATCCTCTTTAAAAATTACAGAATAGCAAGTAGAAAATAAGTGAACTTTTATTTAGAGGGGGAAAAAAAAAACCAAATTGCAGGCTTCATTAGCTTAATTTAATCTTTCTACAATGTATACATATATCAAAACATCACATTGCAACCCATAACTATATACAATTATTGTGTCAGCTGAAACTTTTAGAAACAAAGAAAAATGCAAAAATAGAAACTTCATATGAAAACTATCAGACTATCAGTTAGCTGTTATAAAAATACATAAATTACAAGATTACAGGGTGTTTCAAGATCTTTTTTATCTTTGCAGCTTCTCCCAGCTTTGTGTCCCCCGACTTCTGCTACCAAAACCTGCAATAGTTGCGTGTCGCTGCATAAAAAATTACCTTCCACCTAGATCAGTGGTTTAAAGTTGCAATATGCACTTATTATCCTCTCTCAGTTTCTAAGGGTCAGAAGTTTAAGGTCAGCTTAGTTGGAGTCTCTCGGGAAACTGCAATTCAGGACACTAACTGGGGCTTCAGGCATCCGGAGGCTCAACTGGGGAGGGGAGCCCAGTCTCCAGGGTAGCTCGTTTGCATGGTGGGCAGACACTCGATGGCTACTGATGGAGCCCCCTGCCATGGGCCTGTCCACAGGCTGCTTGCCTGTGCTTACGACACAGTGTCTGATCTTCCCCAGCATGCACCATGAGAGAAAGAACAGGTAGCAACATTATTACGGCTGCGCTTTGGAAGCCACGCACCATCGCTTCTGCCAGACTCTATTCATTAGGAACAGGTCCCTAAGTAGGGCCCACTTTCAAGTCCAGAGGAAATTAGACTCCAACTCTGAAGGGACAGGTGTCGAAGAATGTGTACACATATTTTCAGGCCACCACATGGTGGCTGCACAACTTGCGTCATTTAAGGGCGCATGCAACAGGTAAGTCTACATACAGGCAGGACAAGAGTCCCGTATGGTTTGAGCAGGAACCTGGCTCCAATTCCCTGTGACCCCCCTGCATTTTCCTAACTGCACGGATAGATCACTTTTGTCTTCACGTTCATTTCCCTCATGATGGTAAAATGGCTGCAAAATTCCCATGCACCTTCATCCCACGCTATCCAGTGGGGAGAAAGAGCTTTTCTCCTGGAAGGGTCAGACAGACTAGAGAAGTAGAACTTGGACAGGAGACGGAATGATGCCCGATTATTTCTGTTCAGAGTGCGTACACCTAGAGTGACAGATACACAAACTGTTTATTGTCACCTTCGGGGCGGGGCTGATAAGGCGAAAACAAAACTCACGTCTTAATTTCTAACCTACAAGTACATGCAGGCAACCTGATGATAATGTCCTATTCCCTGGGGCTGCACTGTCTCAACATGCTATAACAGCAGAGTGTAAGGACAGAGATTTCTGTCTGGCAGGCTCAGTGCTCTGCGGGGGCCAGAGCCTAGAACCGGGCCTGACACGCAGCAGACCCTCAACAGAGAGAGGTGTTGAAATAATCAATAAAGGAAAAAGCAGCGGTAAGATAATGATCATTGCATGAGCACAGAAGCCGCAGCCCCGGGGACAACCAAGCCGTTGGCTGTGGGTGGATGTCAGCCTGTTGGTGGCTGTTAGCCGGGACACAGTCAGTGTCAGTCCCTCTGGCCCTGCCATTCTTGTCGATTCCCTTCACGGCGGTCCCCACCCCTTCCCCCACGCCCCTCCCCCACGGAGCCCCCTGTCCCCTTATCTTCCTGGAGCAACTGGGACAGCCGCTTCCTTTCTCGCAACTGGAGGAAGTGATGGCATGCACCAGCGCGCAGCGCCAGCCGCCAAGACTTTATTTCCATCCACTACATCCATCGGTGGGAAATACAAAACGTGAACATCAGTAGCAAATTAGCATCTGTTCAAGAGGTCATGTTGATTCACTTCTGTTTCATAAGCTAATACCTTTCAAGAAAAAATCTAAAGGCATACAAAGATATTGTTTGAGAGGATTGAGAAATATCTGGGGCTCTTTGAATCGTAAACAGCATACTCTTTTCCCATTTGGATGTTAAAGTTGTTGAGCCTTCGGTTTCTAAAGAAAATGGAGGAATTTGGAGAGTTCAGAACACATTAAAGGGAAAATCAGCCAGGGGTCCTGATGAGGAGGGAAAAGGGCATAGAAACTAAAATGTCCGTCCGTTGATTATTACGAGGACCGGTAGCGAGCAAGCGTGCATTTTATTTCAGAAGTGAAACCAAGTCCCGGTGCCAGGATATGACAGTTCAGATTCCACGTAGAAAGATGAAAAAGCTAGCACATCAGTCCCCAAAGGTTTTGATCTCTTTTATGAAAGACGGAAGTCTCCACGTCAGTGTCTAGATCAAAGTTCCAGTGCTTTCCTATCAGTGTCAGAATTCTGATCAAGTTGTTCCTAATTTCCCGACGTCGAAGTATTTGCCGCCGGAGAACAGGGCTTGGAGAAGCAGCCTCTGCCGGTGGCACTGTGTGTGTGTGTGTGTGTGTGTCTGTGTCTCTGTGTGTGTGTGTGTGCGCGCGCGTGCACGTGAACGTGCCTGTGTGTGCATGTACAGGAAGCACTTGCTTTGATGTCCTTCCTCTGTCTCTGGCGTCTGTACCTCTCCCCATGGCTCCCGTCTCCGCACACTCTGCACAGGTGGGGGAAGTCAGACTTCAACAGCTCAGCTCGGCGGGTTCTAGCGCCCGCTTCTCTGCAAAATGCATGAGACGCTTCCTGCCCCCGGGACAATGGGGCGCTCTTGTTGACAGGATACATGAGCTCTTGGTGGACACACGTCTGCACCAGGTGTTAGGAGTTTGCTGGGACTGCCGTGACAAACAGCACAGACCGGCAGCTCCATCAGCAGATGTGCATTGTCTCTGCACGGTTCAGGATGTTATGGGTCCAAGGTCAAGGTGTCAGCAGGCTGGTTTCTCCTGAAGCCCCTCTGCTTGGCTCGTGGACGGGGTCTCTTCTGCGCAAGTCTCCATGCCGCCTGTCCTCTGTATGTGTCTGTGTCCTAAGCTCTTCTTACAAGGACACCAGTCCTGTAGGGGTGGGTCCCACCCCGATGACCTCATTTTCCCTTAATTTCCTCTGTAAAGACCTGATCTCCAAAGGTAGTCAAATTCTGAGATATCGAGGATTATGACTTCAACACATGGGTTCTGGGGGACGGGATTCAGCCCATAACATCGAAGATCCTTTTCAACCGGGGCTCTTTGAAAGTGAAAGACAATCTCTCGCCTGGGCCCCCCGCCCCACGGCTCTAACAGGGCGAGGAATTTTAGTAAGCACGGCCTCATGCATCCAGCGTGGGCAAGAGATGGTGCCTGCTGTAAATAGCATTCTTTACTCACGGAGAAGAAGTCTAATAGCCAGGAGAGGCTGTGGGAAAATATGAGACTCTCACTGGAACTATGTCGCTTTGGATGAAATATTTATTTCCCATTGTTTTCTCACCTGGGAGATATGGAACATGTTGACGTACCCTTTGTTTCTTTCTTCCAGATGTTGAGGTCCTCAACTTGTAAATGTTTTTAACGTAGCCAATGGTATAAAAGTTCCTTCTTCTATTAAGGAAAATAATGTTTTGTCATTAACACTGTATTTTTTTGAAGGAAAAAAAACAACACACCACTGCAGTGCATGGAAAACATTCTAATGCCCTTTCCACCCTTCCACACTATTTGGACAGGGTAGGCAGTCAAGAGTATCAGGCCAGCCAGGCTGGAGAAAGACGGCGGCTCTGATAAGATTTTATGTATCACAATAACTCTGAGCTTGTGCAAGCTCAGCCTAAGAACCTGATTTTCTAACATAGCATGTTCTAAGTATCGACTGAATTTCCATGTTGTCTGGAAACCTGTTTCTCTTCTTTTCCTTCTTAGGAGACACAAAATCGTGGTGCTCTAACCAAAAAGAGACTGATCTCAGAATCATTAGTAAATATTTTGACTTGGGGAAAAAAAATCATTCCTGTCTCTGATATTTCCATCCTCCCATTCTATACATGCAAAGAAGCAGGCTCGTAATTGGATGAAAGTTTAAATCTAAACATCTTCTCTGTAAAGAGTATATCTACCCTCAGTTCATTAGCTGGCAAGATCGAAATAAATACACACAGGCTGTATCTTCTGAGAGCACGTCATGGCAGAGAGAGGAGACAGCAGCCCAGGGAGGCAGGGTGGGCTGCGTTGGAGTTGGCCCGGGTGTCTGAGGCTGCTTGAATGTCAAGTGGCCACATGGGATCAGCTCATTAAAGTCTCAGAAGAATATTTTAGGACATGTAAGGTTTTGGCTTTGGTTGTCAGCTAAACTTTAAATAGCATCATTTTTCTAAGTGCAGCAAATATCTTTTGGTTTTTTTTTATTTTGTTTTGTTTTGTTTTTTAATGCATATCCCTTTGGAAAGTTGCCACTGATGTAAAATTGAACTCCCATGACAGACTCGAAAACAAAGGGTCTCAGAATCATTAGTAAATATTTTGACTTGGGAAAAAAAATCATTTCTGTCTCTGATATTTCTATCCTCCCATTTTATACCATGCAAAGAAGCAGGCTCGTAATTGGATGAAAGTTTAAACATCTTCTCTGCAGATCTTTTATACTACGTTTCAGTCTATTTTTGTACTTTTTTTTTTTTTTAAGGGGGAAAACAAATTGGGAGCGCAGTGTTTGGCTAAGATCTCTGGACTTGTTCCTACAAACACTTACATAAGAGCTCACCAAATTGAGGATTTATAGGGAGAGATGCCAGCTTAGGAGCCTCCGACTTGAAATTTGCCAACCAAGAGGAGCCAGAAAATCAGAGTTAAAGGAAACTAGCCTCTCCCCTTTGTTTTCACTCCTCCATTGTAACTAAGGGAAGCATGGCGGTGGGTAATTTATGTTCGGGATAATGTACTCTGTTAATTATCTCTTCTTCCTCACAAAGACCCT